CAGCCTCAGTTAAATTATTAGCACTCATGACTACAAAGCATTAAAAACATTCAAATCAATGGGGTCCTAACCTTTGAACTGGTAAGAGAAAATGTTGTTACATCAGAAGGGACACAATCCTTAAATCTGTATCTAAAATGATTGTCTTCAGATGATAAGCAAGAATATGTTTGTATAGACAAAGGGACTCATTCTTTGGCTCCAGACCATTAATTCCTTTACAAGCTGATTCATGATTACATAAAAGGAAGTTTCCCAATTCGGGACTATTAGCCATTGATGGTCTTCAGCGATTGGTTAGGGGAAATTAAGTCTCCTCCCACAATGAAAGTGATTAGAGTCAAGACAGTATCAGAATGATTAGTTTAATAAACAATACTGTATTGATTTGTTTGTTTGTTTTTTAAGTAATTATCTTTTTGTATCTGACAGAATTTTTGCTCATACCTTCTTGACTCTGGTTGCCTTTCTGCATAATCTCTACTGAAAAATGTGGTGGTTATGTCAGTCAGTGGCACGAAATCAGTTTAATTTAGCAACATGCCAGCAGCATTTATTTCGGTTGTCGATGCTGTCCTTGGAGATACATTGCTGCTGGTCGAAAAGACAAAAAAGATTCAGCAGTGAATAAACAAATCCAACTAAGATTTCCAATATTGTCATTAGAATTCTGATGTATGGAGGCATAATTCTGACTGACTTTAAATTAGTCGTTTTTTAAAGCAAGATGAGTTTGCTGTAGAGCTCACTTAATTTGCATTGGCCAACATTTACTTTACTTTTCAAAGGATAATTTTACCTTCTCTGGACAGAAATTGGACCCTCTGTAGTACTATTTATGCAATCTCAACAAGATTATACGACACTATAATGTCCTATTCTAATTGTGGGTATTTATCTTGCCCATAAGCATAAAACCCTACTCCAAGACGATTTTTATTTTTCACTACCTGTCAAAAAAAGGTCTTGCCCTGTACAAATGTGTCATTTACCATTGAAACTGGTAAGACAAAATTTTAGGATAAAAAGAAGAAAGATTTGCCTGTTAATCATAGGTATTTGTGTTTCTTTTGGATCCTGATGATATGGTGCTTAACATGAACAACACTAACTCCTGTGCTTCTGGCTGCTTAGCAGGTGAAAAACTGAGGAACTTTGATGGCTGCGTAGTAGATGATTGGTGTCTAATAATATTGTGGGGGGTGCAACTTCATCTATCCAACGTTTGTTGCGCGCCATGTCAGCGACAATGACACAAGGACAGCACTTTAAGTCAACCAAAACAACGAAGCTGAAGTTCTAAAACCAAAACCATCAAATAGGGCTCAAATGTCTCAAACTAGTAATCACAGCTATAAATTTATTATCCATTTGTGATGTTGTTTTAACAGTAAGCTAAAACTCTGAGGTTCAAATGTTGAATAAGGAAATGTTTGGTTTAAATTTATAGGTTAAGGGTCATAAGTCAGACATAAACTGCTGTGGGCAGTCAGCATGTTGTCTGTGTGGCTAGTGCTACTCTGTAAGATGTTTCAGAGGAAGCCAAAGGTTAGGTCAAACGGTTAGCTCTTAGACCCAAAGCCAATAAAGGATCAGGTGCATGAGACACAACAATAGCATTGAGTACATTAAACATATGGTACTACACACACTATCTGCAACTGCAGAGCACCCAAACAGTCTATATACTGACTACATTTTTATCCACAGAGAAAGGTTGTTTTTTTTTTTAAAGAGAAATTGTGAAATCAAATGGAACAGCAGAAAAACATGGACACGCTGTTGGGGCTTCATTCAAAATCCCTTGTTTTATTGATGTGCTGAGTCTGTGGAATATCAACAAAGCAAGTAAAGAAGATAAAAAAGAGTGGTAAAATCAGTGTTAAATGAACAGAGATGGAAGCTTGGCCTAACATCAGCACCAAATACTTGTCTCTGTATTTTTAGAACATATGATAAAAACTGGAGAGCAATTTCCCCTGGACCCACAGATGATGAGAAATAATTTTATCCTTAGTGTCCAAGTAGCTGTTAAAACTTTGGTGCAGCCTTAAGGATTTGCCATCCAACTGCGAAGCCAAACATTTGTTTTCCACCAAAAGAGCCCCTGGCCAAAGACAAAGAGAGGGACCTCTCTCTTTGTGTGGGTGAGCTGTTCAGCTGCGGCCTCATATATGCTACTGATGATTGGCCTGGTGGGCAGCTTTAGTCCCTCCCCAGCTAAAGACCAAAACTGACTGATGGATTGGTGCGCCCAATCCCCTTTGGGTTTTGGTAGCAGTCACTCCACAAGATGGTTACAATATTCCTCAGAGAGAGGGAGAAAGAGTTTGAAATCAAGTCCCCATTCAGCAACACAAAACACATCCGTGCACTTTTTCTGTTTGACGGACATTTGCAGTTTGATCATTGGACTCTGGGAATTGGGAGCTGTCCAGTGCTGAAAATGCGAGCAGTTTTTCCTCCAGTAACTGTGAAGGCATTGTTATTCCAGCTCCTATTCCAAACGTGGCAATAAACGAGCCAAAGGTTCAAAGAGATCATAAAATTCACACTTCGCTTCACAATAAGGTTCATACTTAGAACTGTTGTTAAAAACAACAACAAAAAAGCTGCACAGCTCATTAACTCTCAGAGCTGAATCCATCCATTTTTAGGGCGTTATGCTCATAAAGCAGGAGGTATAAGGCTCTCTCAAAGGTGAAGCTTATTTTGATCGTAACTTGGCTTCTATAAGTAAGTGCTAGCACTCATTTGCATTTATATAGCCCAGTTCTGTTAGCTATTAACACTGTATTAGGGGAGGAATGGAACCCATAATCGCCTAAGTGACATCTTAGTGTGTGTGCTTTCTTTTGGTAGAAAATCATATCCACCCTAACTATAAAGTATATTTGGCTTAACAAAAAAAAGACACAGCTCATGTAGTGCATTTGTATACTCCAACTAGGAAAAAATCATATGCTTACATATTTGAGCTGTCTGATTTAATTGAACAAATTCAGATGGTCATCAAATAATAATGGGAAATTGTGGTAATTGAGTCCTCCCCTTTAAAATAACCTATTAATACCCAAAGATAATTGCTAAATAATGGTAATATATAGAGAGAGAAAATAGTAACCTTAGTAGTCAAGGTTGGAACATTTTCTGGACAATGTGAGTTTTCTCAAAGATATTCATTTTTTACCCATTAAAAAACAATAAAAACAGGAGAACACATTCTTTAAAAGCCAAAGCAGGGTTTTGTTTGAGCCCTCTTACTTGAACCATGATTAACAATAGTTACAAACACTTCTTTTGTTGAATGTTTCTATATAATTTATTCAAATGTATTATATCTAGACCATTTTCTCCAACTCAAAGCCTTGTGCATTACCCTATTCTTATCTTCTGCCCCCAAAAAGTGATTCCAGATGTCTAGACCCAGACATGATAAACACAACTGAGGCTGCGTGGGTTCAAAGAGAGCAGCAACAGACAGTGGCAGCTGAGCTGAGCTTGTACTCTATTTTAGAATCAGAGTCTTTTCTTCCCCACAACATCGCTCTCCGGTCCCTCTGTGTATGAGTGCACTCATCGGCAAATTCACATTAACACACACGCAACTACTGCATGCGTGTGTCTCATGGAGGCCCAACCAACCTCCCTCTGTCACACACACACACACACACACGCATGTACCACATCCGGACAGAATGAAAAATGCATATAGTAAACTTTCTGCTGGGTCCTTCTGCCTCATTCCTTCATATTCTCCATCATATTCCTGGCTCATCCCACATTTACAACATCTCTACTTTAAACGTCTATTCATGAGCTTTAGCTCCCGGATAAGGTTGCCCTGCCTTGTTAATCTTGTCCTGCTTTCTGCCCCTGACACACAGCTGGTGGTAAGTGTTCAAACAGGCCAAAGAAGAAAAGGCTTGAAGCCCTCCAGACTGAAGTGGTGAATGGGGAAAGAATGGGCTTTACTAGGCTGCAAGAGCTCTCATATACTCAGACAATACAGCTCATTTGTCAAGGTGACCCAAACTGTTATCCCCCCCCCCCCCCCGCACCCCCTTACAGTGATTTGTTCATGCCAGTGTTTGTGTACAGAAAAAGGCACAGATCAATACGGGATTCTCAAAGACATAGATCAGAACTATGACACCAATCTTTCAGCATGTACTTCACTTTTGTGTTAATCAGAACTAAAGTAAAGTTGGACACTGACAGACATGAATTGTGAAGCAGCAAACAGGCCCAGTAGTGATCCAGTTTCAACAGGAACACTTTGTGTCATGCCAAGGTGACAGTTAAGGTGGATCAAAAGCTGATTTTGGCAGTTGTTCAGCGCATGTTGTCTGCTCACCAAAAAGGCTCTCATTTTCATGCAAGCTCTCACAAACACCTGTTCTTGAGTTCAGACCTGCCTTAACAGCTGCATCTCCTAACACAAGTCACCCCAATCTGTTAATTTCTCTTAATATCGTCAGATACGAGGAAAGATTTGGGAGCCTGTGTGAGCCAAAGTCGCCTTCCTGTGATGGGAAGGCGGTATGAAACCGCGAAAACGACACGGTAACAAGGTTATTTGCCGAGTTGATGATTTATGCATGAACCTACATGGGTCATGAATACAGACCAATATGGAAAGGCTTTGACCTGTAAATAATTAAAGCTATCCCATACAAGTTAAATGTGTGTGCGCATAAGGAGCTGGCGCTGGAATCGCTGTCCGCCACACTTGCTTGCAGTGACTGCTTATGCCTAAATGTCGTAATGAGGCGCAATGCCAGAGAAACCATGAAATTATTGAATATTGTTTTAGTTCAAGTTCCTTTAGAGGTGCAAATCTGATTGCGGATGTGTATTAATTTACTTGAAATTGCCCCCCCAGCTGCTGGGAGGTGTAAGCCACCGTATCATGAGAAATGACACACTGACCAAATAACTGATTTAAAAAAGCATGTAAGCGAGGAACACCCCCCCCCCTTATTCGCTTTTGTTCTTACCGTATCTAAGGGGGTGCGTTTCACTGGTGTAATCCTCAGGAATGCCAGCGAAAGCCGTGCGCCTCAGTGCAGGTGTTCCCCCAAAAGCTCCCGGCGGGTGCGGAGACGGTAAACGCCGGAACAAGGGGGTGAAACAGCACTTTGCGGAGGCAAAAAAGAAAAAACCGGGCTGAGAGGAGTGTGCACGAGCGCTCCGGGGTTTGGGACTTTTCACTCCTTCCTCAGCATTACGCACTCCTCGCTGAGCAGCAGCCTATGCGCCGGTCATTCTGCCAGACGCTGAGACTTGCCAGATGGGCAGAGAGATGCATACACACACACGCAAACGCACACACACACACACACACTCAGGCACGCACACTCAGAGACTCGCGAGCAAGGTGCTCCCAGCGTCCCCCTCCGCACCGGCAGCCACACCGAGGGAGAGAGGCAACACAGGTTTGAACAAAGAGGCGAGCGGTGACGGGCAGACGCAGCGCCCCCATTCAAAGAGGGGATGGGAGGCGAGAGTGGGGGTTAAAAAAAGAGAGAGAGAGACGGGGGTGGACTCTATGAGACCATAATCCGATTCCTGCATAAACCCGTACACTGATCTGGAGTCCATGCACCACCAGAATTCACACATGGGCTTACATGACCCTCAGTTGAGCCCCATCACCCTCTTTTGTAATCTCTTTCTGCACATTTGTGTTAATATAAATGAGACAACTTGGGCGATAACACATAACCCAGAGGCCTTCTATGAAGGAGAAAAAAAAACTAAAGATCATCTGTTTTATCAGTTTGTGTAAGAGTAGCATTTTCTGAGAAGATCTCTTCAGTGTTAATAAGAGCTCCCACAAATGTCCACCAGCCAGTACACACCAAACTCCATCATTCACTATAACAAGCACCTCTCTTTGTTGTTTATGTAAGACGGCCTGAGCACAGGTCCAGATCTCACATTGATTTCTGTCAGTGATAAAGTGAGGAGAAGAACAGCAGGCTGCCCTTTGTTGTTCAGCAGGTCTGCAGCCTCTCATGCTCTGGATGGCTTTGAATCATGCACCTTCCCCTGGGTAATTGAGGTTCTGGAATTATGGCTGACCCACCGATCATACTAATCACAATGACTTTCATTGAAGCCAAAGACTCCTTAGACTCAGTTAAGTTTTGGAGGATTTTAGAATTTCACTGAGCCAGTCTGTCAGAGGAAAAAAGGCTTTTCCAGAATGTTATACTGAATGTTGCGCCCAATTCACATTTGCTTTTGTGCAATAGGAGTTTGCTTCTGTTTCATTTGGCTGTGATGGATGAAACCTTTAAAATCCAATAAATTATTTTCAGGAAGATGGCCTGAATCCATCTTGATATTCCAGATGATTAGTCACACATCTGGTAAAGTGGGTAGATAATTTGATGGAACAGAAAAGCAAAGCAAACTCCTCAGCTGCACTAACGAATCAGTACTTACATAGTTAAGAAAAATAAATCACCAAATGACATCTTAGTTCTTGTTTAACACAATTCTCACTATAATAAATTAGATCTCTCATTGTCTTCTTTATGGCTGACGTGAACAACTCCTTTTGGTTTTGTGTGAATGCAGAATTTGAATAAATTTGCCTTGTTTTTAAAAATCAGTGCTTCAGATGTTGTGCAGTCCTGGCAAGGCGAGTTTATCTGCTTGGCACATTTCGTGTACAAGACCATTCAAAGTGCTTTACAAAGAGTTTAACAGCACAAAACAAGAAAAGAAAACTAATCAGCAAAATAAATTGAATAGATTTAAAGGGTGCAGATTAAATACATCCAGTTTCCATATGCACAGTTGAATAGAAACATTTATAGCCTTGATTTGAACATTGTCAGAGTCCCAGCTGGTTCATAGGACACAATGTCAGAAATATATTTTGCTCCTTGTCCGTGAAGACGCTTGTACACAAGCAGAACAGTTTTAATGTCTATTCGCTGATGGACAGGAAGCCAGTGCAGAGACCCGAGCACTGGGATGATATGGTCGTATTTCCTGGTACTGGTCAGAACCCTAACAGCAGCATTCTGGATGTTCTTCGGCTATCTTAAAGCTGGTTTAGAGGGCCCAGCGAGCAGGCCATTAAAGGAGTCTGACCTGCTGGAGACAAATGCAAGGATTAGTCTTCCTGAGCCATAAACAGATGATCCTGTAAGGACAGCATCCTTGGTAGAAGTAGTGTATTTAAAGTTGGATGTGAATTAACTTAACAATTTAGAAAAAGTTGTTGATTTGGTGAACCTGACCATGTTTTCTTTTAAGACATTTGAATGCATAAAATATGTATGAAACGGTCAACATCGCTAAACAAAGTGTAGTGCAGTATTGATTTCATCACCTGCAATATGGAAATATTTTGCATGGTATCCATTATAGTTTCATGTGATTTGGACCGCATTTGTCAGTCATAAGAATTCAGAGCCAAGCTGGTCGATGTCTCACACTCAGGGGAAACGCTTCTAGTTCTTGTGTTGGAAATTGATCCATTGGAACTGAAACCAAGGACAGATCTCTTTTTTCCATGGTGCTAATGAGGTGTGTGAGTTTCACATAACAAGTATGGATTACTCTTAACGAACTACGTAACGCTTATGGTTTGTGCTTCCCTGACAAAAACTGTTTTAAACTTGATATTGGGAGCATAGACAAGATCAAAATAATGAATAAATACACACCTGGTGGCATCTTAGTCATCACGAATCTACAGCAGAAACGCTGCAGTACTGAATAACGAGACAATACACACACACTACATGCCACAGCGGACCTCCAGCCTGCTGAACATCCTAAGGGCACGCCATCTCGATATGCTCTCTTGATACTCATCTGCTTCTCTTTGTTTTACAATAACAGCACAAAAAGGCTCTCTCAAAACCCTCCTTTCTAATGCAAAAACATATATAAACAAGGCTGCTTCATGACTCACATCAAAAGACATCTAATCATATTTTTTGTGGTGCATCAGTGTTTGACTGTAATCCCATTGCAAACAGTAGTTTCATGCTAGTCTCAGTTGGTATCCAAACATAATAACAGGTTTTGTAAAAACTTCTCTGAGACAGAGAGGGGGGGGGGGATATGAGGCCTACACAAACAAGAATATGAGTAGCAGGCTGTACGGGGGCTCCGGATCCAGACACTGTGTTTATTTTACAAGCCGACACATTTTTATAGACGAGTCTGTTGACGTGGCTCATCTGTCCTGAGAGGGTTGAAAGAGACAGATGGAGCAGACGAGTACTGATGAAGCTCTTACCGGGTCCCAGATTCCCAGATTGACAGGAGGAAAAGGAACACGAAGAAAAGCAGGAGCTCTAAACCATGTTCTCAGAGTTTTTTACCGCACATGCCTCAGGTAACTGCTCCATGGAGCCCCACACATCTGAAGCACTTGAAGGTTAATAAGCAAGCATTTCTAAGCAGTTGTTTGCTCAGTGCTGTTCAGATGCAGCAGGAGAAACACGATACGGACAGAAGGCCCTAAATGATGTATAGAGCATAAGCGCACTGCGAGAGCTGGATATGGACAAACATCTGCTTATCTTCAGGCTGTTCATTTGATTAGATATTGTGTTGCATGTTGTAGTACAGGCACTTAAAAAGCACACACAGATGTCAGGGGCAGTGTCATTCAGCCCTAACGTGAGCCACGACTCGAAAAAATATCAGGTGCCAGACCTTTCAGTCAGTCCCCACAAAGGGAGCAGCTGTCTTTATGCAGAATCCAGAAAAACACAGCACACAATGGAGGCAGGATGAGAATAACTCCAAATCTTTATTATTTTTTCTGGGGCTGTTTTTTTATTTTTGTTTTTATTTTTCAAAGCTCTTCCCGCATCTTAAAAAGAAGCAAAATGACACTTCCAAGAAACACATCCTGCCCCTCAGAAGGAATCAGAGACATAATGAGGCTTTCAGCTGTGTTTATCCTCACTGGCTGAGATGGTGTGTTTAAAATCCTGCCTTTACTTGTTATTTGCGGGGCAGGCTGCTCATGCAGGAGATCAAACAAGCCACATACAAAGAGGGGAAACAGGATATCTCCTGGTGGAGCTAGGTCTATTAACGTGGCTTTTTATTAACTCTAGTCGTTAGTCTGCTGATGGAGCAGACTTGGTTTATCTACCATGCTGTGTTTAAATGTTTCCAAGCGAAGGAGCCCCATCTGGAAGGCAGCAGGGCAGCTGTGGAGGAAGTCAGGGAGACATGGCTTGCGTTGTTACCAACCGCATGTAATACCGCCATACTGTTCAAAACTTAACGAGAACTCCTGAAAGTTTAGGTGTTGATGTTTTTGCTGTTCTTTTAAGGGCCGCGGTTTGTGTCATGTTTAGAGAAGCTTTTCCCAGTACATCTAAAGTACATTCATTCATTTTCCATGCCCACTTTATCTGAACCTCAAGGCAGCTGTAGCCAATCCCATCCTCTGCTGCCACACCACAGGCCAACACCCGAGCACATCCCCACGGTCAGCTTAGAATAATCACTTTAGCCGAGGTGCATGTTTGGACTCTGTGGGCAAAAGCCAAAAATACTTGGAAATGACCAGAGCTGGCAGTAGAAAAATGTCCAAAATTCCAACAGAAAGAGCCCAGCAGAATTCTAACCCCATTGCCATAAGAGTGGACATTTAGTCTTTATTCCTTTTTAAAATGATGGATAAAAAGCAAATGGCATCTCAATAATGTTTTGCCCTTAAAAATAAGGAAAAGTTTGTCTTTCTTTTTTGTTTGCTAGTTTAGTAATAAAAACTTTTTTTTAAAATAGATAAAAGAGTCAACATAACATATTCCCTTTTTGCATGGCATATCTAAAGAGAATGATGGAGATGGTGTGGATAGATAATCTTTTCACTCTTGTCTCCTTCTGATGCTTTATGTGAAATATTCTGTTTTCCAACATCGGTATTCCCATGACAACTAATGTAATCCGTTTTGTAGTTTTCTTTTACTATTTCATGTCCACCATGCTCATAGTAAACCACCCACAGTAAACACAAATCAGTTCATTTTCTTTTGATCCAATAAAAAAATAATGCAACATTAATTTATACCACCAGGACCTATCAGGAGAATATCTGTAGCTAAGGCTCATGAGGTGATTCCACCAAT